GGGTGTCTTTGGTCTGTAAGATGTTTTTAGCTTCTTGATTGGTAGTAGTACAATTGTATAATTTTAAATCAAAAAAAATTACTAATCATATATAAATGTATATATTTTAAATTAACAGATATATATAATCTAGTAAATATAATAGCAATAGATAATTTAGTTCATATAATTCCATAATTTGATAAAAGTAATGAATATTTATTAAATAATTATTTATTTTAATATAATTATTATCACTTTAAAGATTTTTATATTTTTTAAAAATAAAAATTTCTATATTAAAAAATTTTAAGATTTTTCTAGAAATTTTCAAAATTTTTTTTAGAATCAAGTTACTTTTAGAAACTCTTTCTATAAGAAGAAATTTTCACAAATTATATTTAGACCAATATCCAAATCCATACTGTCCCAGATGTAGACTACATATTGAAAATATCTAATGTCTTCAAATGTCCATCAACTTTAGAAAATATTGGCCAACTTATTAATATTATTAATAATATTCTTTATCCTAATGGTGATCACAAACCAATCTTATATGCTTGGCAGTTAAAGTTGACATATGGCATTACCAACATCTTTTCTATAATCAACTTTTTTTAATTAAATTGAATAATCAATTGAGACTTTAACTTATCTATATAAATTAATCTGAACATTTCACTATATCATAACAAATATTTCTTCTTTCACAGATATCAAATAAAACAATAATATTTATAGCAATATAGCAAAACAAGCCATAAAAAAATAATAAAATTCAAATCCTTTAATAACTTCTTCTTTATATTAACATTAACTATTATAGACATATCAATTAAAGTTATAGACTCATATATCCAAAGTGAATTTAACTTTATTAAATATATTTTCAAACTAATTTCAAACTATCTTAACTTTTTTTTATTCAATGTTAAGTAGGTAATTATAGCTGCTCAGTTTCTTTTAACAAGATATATTGTTTTAAATTTTTTTCAATATTAGTTTAATGGTTACTATAGGCAAGCTAATATTTAACTCTTTATATTGTTACATATGAGAGATATTATTTCTTTTATAATAAATATCTATTACAATACAAATTAAATAAAAAAATAATGTTTACTTACAAAAATATATACAGTATATACAGTATATATATTTATACTTATTTTTTTAAGCTTAAGTGTTCTAATTAACATATAATAAATATAATTTCAATGTGTTTTGATATTCAATATAATTATTTTTTCAGCAATTCCTGTATTGTGCAAAAAATTTTTCATGATATTGTAGTAAGAATTATATTTTAAAAATAAGTTTACAAAGCTATAAATTACAAGTAATTTATTAATATATATAATTTAGTTATTAATATTTAAATAAAACTTACTTTATAGGATAATACGTGAAGACCAGGGATTCTAGTTACTCCCGCAACATAAGCTGGTGATGACAACGAAAGTTTCTCGCTCACCCCTCTGACAATGTAGGACTCATTGTACAAGGTTGGTATCAACACTTTTAAGAAAACACAACCCCACCTTACATCCAACACTTTCTCCAACAAATCATTACCTTATGTCCAACTCACTCTTTACACTCTCCGGGTCCGTCATATCCTAAAGCCAAATACACCCTCCGAAGCCACTCTGACAGCGAGATTAATTGCCACCTTCCAGCCTTTAGTCCTAGTGATGGGTTCAAATGGGAGGTCAATGCTAGGTGCAAATGGTGAAAGATTAATGTTGTCTAAGGGTCACATTGGTATTAAAGACGATTGCCGCCCTCCAGTTTTTAGTCCTAGTGATGGGTTTAAATGAAAGGTCAATGCTAGGTGCAAATGGTGAAAGATCTGCTTTATTTTGGTGCATTTGGAGTTAGTATAGTTCGGAACCAACTCTTGCCCTACTTGCCGTACATCAAGCCACAGTTGGAAAGCAAGTATGCCAATCCTAGTCATGACTTGGAGGCCAACCTGTATATAGTAGCTGCAGCACCTTCATGTGATTAGGTATTCATTTTTCTTCTAGGAAACTAGACCACCACTTAGGGCACATATAGGTTTTTAAATCGTTTTCTTATATTCTTGAGTGGTGTTAAGGAGCTTAGGTGAAGGAGCCCATATGGAGCCCGGCATTAAACTCTTCCTGGTAAAGAGAGATGCATATTACACTAGTATGTTATAAATCTTGTAATTCGCAAGTCTAAATATTATAATAAAAACAAAAGTGTGAGAATTGCCTGTTTCTTTTAAAAAAAAAAAAATAAATAAAACTTACTTTATATAAAAGATTCAATATTACTCCATTCAGTTCAATATTATTTTTTAATTTAATATTTATAATATTTTTTGTACAGTAATATTAACTGCATTAAATTTGATGTTATTTTCAATAAATGTATTTTTAAGAGCTCTAAAAAAAGTTATATTGTTGCTTGTATTCTGAATATTATATTTAAAACCTGCAATATATTATTTTTAATTTAATATATTTTTTATAATGTTTTTATATTTAATATCAAATATAACTTATTTTACAAAATCAAAATTATTTAAATTTTGTAAAAAAACTTTTAAGATTTTTATTAAAATAAGAACTCTCAAGTTTAATAAAATTTAAAAATAAATTTTCCAATTTCCAATTGTTTGTAATTCTATATATTGTAATTTCTAGAAATAGAAGAGTATTTGCCAATATCCAAGCATCTAAAATAAATAAAATTCTACTAAGCATTTCCTATAAAAATTATACAAAATAAATATAAAATTATTTATATTGTTGTGGTGAAATCACGGCAAGTCAGTCACTTCGATCTGTCTCACGCTGTGTAATGATCGGGGTGGTTTCTACTCAAAAGAGGCATATGAATTTGGCCAGAGTTCATAATGCTGACGCAGATCAGTTCATCGATCTTGCATCCTCAATGGTTACTTCATACGCAGCAATTCCGTTAGCTACATGATGCTGGGGTCAATCACAAAGCAATAGTTTATCAAATAAAGATGGTTTTTATTTAACAGTTGCGCAGTACCTATTCTGGTTCTCCCTACTTTTTGATCATTCTCAGGTTACTTATATACATTTTTACTTTATACCTATTATACCTATTATATCTGATATACCACTTATATCTAATATACCATTTATACCTGTTATACTTACCCTTATAATTTTCTATCATCTACCTATTATTTTTCCCTACAACATTTTCCCCTTCTTAAATTATGAGTATCATGAGTGATTTTTAACTTTATCTTGATTTGAAAATTTCATAGTCACCTCCTTTTAACAATCAATTTTCCTAAGTTGGTAAGAGTACTCAAGTATTTGCAAGGCTTAGCAAGTATTCCCGTGCTGATTCACTATATCCTCATTGATCAGTATTCCTGTGCTTGCCACACTATATTCAAGACTTATTTGCCAAATACTACTTTTGTATTATCCACAATAAGGATTATTACTATTTAAACCAATAGTTTTAGTGCTAATCCTTTCAACTTTTTCATCCTCTAATTGTTAAAATTATGCCTAAGAAAAACTGCATCTCCAAAGCTATTTGCCTCACTTGCTCCAATCGCAAAGATCCTTCCTGGGAAACTATAATAATACTCTAAGAAAAGGTTAAAATTTTGGAATGTTTGGCATGTTATTGAGAAAGATCCAAAAGCTTGAAAGAAGAAGTTACCAAGTTAAAAGCAGACTTGGAAACACTTTCCAATGCTTGCTCCCTTTACTATCATAATAGGAAGTTGGAGTTGGAAAATTTAAATTTGAAAAATAGGGTGGCTCGGCTAGAAGGACTTCTTCAATTGTTAGGAACTCCAGCTCTGGCTCCTTCTGATAGGTCCTTTTTCACCTTTGAACTCAATTAAAGGTTTGTTTTTCTCCCTACTGGTTTTAAGTTTTCCTCTTTTATCATTTATGGATTCATAATAGGAAATGCAGTAGTCGCTGAGTATGCTTTGTGGGCCGGCTGTAATGGATAGGAAGTTGCTCTGTGGGCCACTTCCATTATACTGCATTTTTCGCTTGTTTCTCTTAGTGCTTTTAGATTTCTTTTTCCATTCAAGAGTTCAATGATGCTTGTGTTTGGACAAGTTGAGAACTGGGCTATCATGGTATCTACGTTCACGTCGTATAGCCTGGGTACTGTAATCCATACAGTAGCTAAAGGATACCCTCCTCTTTCCAATATTTCAAAAATAATGTAAAAATAAGGAATTATTCATGTAATTATAAGGCATAATATTAATAAAGAAATAAAAATAAAAAATAAAAATAAAAATAAAAGTAAAATAATAAAATCCATTCAATAGTTGTTCAAAAATTGTTTATATAAATTATATAATTTGGATACTATAGCCTCAAACATCAATCTGCTTCAAAGGTAATATTACCTAGGGTGCTATGGCTAACCAGCCCTTAACCGGCATATGCTATGGATTCCTATCTCTAGGAACCAAGGTTGTCTATAGCTATATCTGGATCCAATATTATTCATTCACATAAACTACAAGAAATAATAAAAAAAATCAAAAAGGTGATAGGTATTTTCAACTATTTGTATAATTTCAAAAATAAGAACCACTATACTAATAAAAAAAATGAAAATAAAATATTCTTTTTTTCTCAAAAATTTTCTTTGATTTTTCCGATTTTTTTTTTTTGCTTCTTTCAAAATAAAGTAAAAATAGAAAAATAAAAGTACCGATCAATTGGGCAAAGATAAAGGAAAATAATTGATAATCAATTGATCAAAGTAGAAATTAAAAGTAAAAATAAACACAGTAAGCTAATCTAATGTTATCGTTGAATAAATTCTAAACTATACTTAAACTAACACTATCCCATCTGTTCCATTTTTTTCATTCATTTTTTTTTTTTTACCATTTTCCTTTTACCTCCTTGATCGCCCATGGCACGTATCGCGATGTTTATTTTTTCGCTCACATCACCCTTTCATGTCTTGATTGATTTTATCTTTATCTTGTTCGTCGGGGCATCCCTAACAGTATATCACACTATCCCTGCACTTTCAGATTTCGGAATGGTTTTGTTACTCATTAGAATTGTCATAATGGTTATCATCATGGCGCAGTGTACTATTTTTGCAACGAAGTTATAGCATGCCACCTCGAGCTTCTCAATTACCTCGCGTAGGTGCATGTTCACCCATCGTTGCCATGCTTTGTCTCCTGGTACCCCTGGTTCCCATATGCTCACAACCACCGGCCCCTCCTTCATCTTCCACTCTACTTTATTCCTATCAGGGGGGTCATCGGTCACCATCCCTTTATCATCATGATACTCCAATCCCACTCCATTCACGTCAGATCTCCCCCCGGTAAGTTCGTCCATATCTCCATGCCTCGCGCCACTACTCACTAATTCCCAGTTTTGTATTTTTATCATGTTTTCCTGGATCATCACAACTTACAATCGTGACGACACTGGTTGGTATCAACACTACTTCTTCCCTATCATCTTGGTAGTTAATAGGCATGCTGACAGTTGTATCCTTTTTCCCATAGTATCATTCCCACCAATGATCTTGATCTGCTAATTCGTCATCGTTTGTAGATTCCTCTTTCGTAACATTATCATTTCTGCTGTCCTCAGGGTCCCATGGTTCCCACGTACTTACAAACATCATTCCTCCTTCCGTTTCATACTCCGTTTTACTCTCAGGGGGGTGGGCATCCCACTCATAAATCGTGATCCATCCTTCATCATGATATCTCAACCCCACCCTATTCGCTTTAGGTCTCATCATGGTAAGTTCGTCTGTGTTCCAATACCTCATGCCATTAATTACTAATTCTCCGTTTTCCTTTTTGCTACATTCTCCTGGGTTATCACAACTTGCAATCATGATGTCACCAGTCGGTATCAACATTACTCCATTCCTCTCTGATGGATGGATGTCTTGTTTTGCGAGTATGGTATTATCATCATCGTTATGGTACCTGACTGGCTCCCTCGAGGTAGGTTATATCATATTATATTGATTTTTCCGCACTCCATTATCGACTCCCAATCCTTCTTTCTTTTTAATAAGTTCAATTGTATCGATGGGTACGATTTTATTATAACTGTCTAACCTATTCTTGCACTTGTCCGGTATTCCTATGGTAGGTCCTCCATCGACTCGATTCGATTTCCTACTTCCAGATGTTTCTGACATTACGCCTCTTTCCATTGATTCTGTCCTCTTACTACGTTGGCCCCTTTCGAAACGAATCTCAGTTACAACCAGGTCTCTCTATGATTTCCGCATCTCATTGTCATGTTCCTTTGAGGCTAGCACGGTTTCGTACCAGGTACTTTATGGTTCATCGTCTCATTGGTCATCCCTCTTCCTTCCATAATGGCATTTTTTTACTTGTTCTAGAGTCACTAACTTATCATTCTTTCCTGGTTCCTTCCCAGCTTCTATTGCGTTGATGTCTCTCTTGCTACTTTCGAGTTCCTTCACTCTTACCCTATTGCTTAGTGCTCCGACATCTTCACTGTTTGCTGCCAGAGTTCTCTTATAAGTAAGTTTTGTTTTCTTCCCACTTAGTTTCGTAAGCGTATCCTTTTTTAATTTCTCTCGCATTCCCCTTTCTAGGACCTTATTCAGGGTTTCTTCAGCTTCGAGACTTCTTTTGTCACTTCTGGTTGTTGAAATTCATCCGCAGGCGCTTGATATTCTGATATCATTATTCCTCATGGCTAGCATCTCACAGCAGATAAGTGTATCAGTCAGTTCAATAGTTTCGTCTATAGCTGATTTAGGCGCTAATTCGTTCTCGCCTCCTTTTTCTTCCACTTTGAAACTTCTGTTGCTCTTCACACTTGCTGAGATTTCGTGGGCGCTCGGCATCCCAGTATAATCGCTCCTCAGGACTGGCACCTCAGAGGTGGGTGCACCATTTCCTGTCATTTTATTACACATGCGTAGTTCGGGTATTAACGTATTTTTATTTCCCTTCTCCTCTTCTGCATCGAAGCCTCCTTCACTATTCACGAGCTCTAGAGCTCCCCTGGCATCACTTAGAGTTTCGGCATTATCTTTTCTCGGGGCTGACATCTCGTAAGAGATAAGTGTTGTACTCAGCTTGATTGTTTCTTTGGGTGCAGCTGGTTCAGACACTAACTTGCTTTCGTTGCTCCCTTTTTCTTCCGTCCCGGGCCCTTCCCTATCGTTCGCACATGTTGAGATCTCCTCGAGGTCACTTGGTATCCCGACACTGATATTTCTTAGTGCTTCACCAGGATTACTTTTGCCTTCTCGAAGGCCTTCCTTTTTGTGTGCAGTTGGTAAGCTTCCAGGTGTAATTTTTTCTTGGTAGTCTTCTCTTTCCTTACGTTATGATTGCGGCACTTTGGGACATAAGAGATATTCTCCTGGCCCTTGAATTTCTCGCAGAATGGTTGTCGTGAGTGACAAGTAGGTGTTTCATTTTTCCATTGTGTTGTTCTGGTGTTCTATGCTCGGAAATCAGATTATTGGTTTTTCTGCAATTCCAAACTTAACTTTTTTTTTTGATCATTGTTTTTATAAATGAACAGATCTTACCGATCCTTTGTACTACTACCGATCCGGTGCTTGATGTTGTTCCATCTTCGCGTTGCTTCCTCAATGGCCCAGGTATAGAAGCTTTTCTGATTGGGGTATCTACCGACATCCCAGCAATAATCTCACAAAGAGATATTACCAACTCCTCTAATCCTGGGTAGGCGTCGTACAATCGCTCCCCTGGACTCAGTCAGGCTTCCTTCCGTATTCTTTTTGTCGCCGCTTTCTTCAAGGCCTTGAATACGTCTTGGTCCGTTCTCCTGGATCCATATTTTTCCAATTCGTCTGAAGTACCTAAGACGACGTCCCTTATTACTCCGGATATTTCCATTATTACTTACTTAAAAAAAATTAACAACAATAAAAATGAAATAAAATCATAGATCAGGGGTAACAACTATCAGGTGCAATTATACTTCTATGCTACTGTGTGTGATAAATGCGTGTATGTCTGTACGGTATGTCTGTTGCATAAAAATAGGGGGTAACGAGTGTCGTTAGTAGTGTTCTATCTCACAGTCACCATCAAAAATGTTGTGGTGAAATCATAGCGAGTCAGTCACTTCGATCTGTCTCATGCCGTATAATGATCGGGACGATTTCTGCTCAAAAGAGGCATGTGAATTTGGCCAGAGTTCGTAATGCTGATGCAGATCAATCCGTCGATCTTGCATCCTCAATGGTTACTTCATGCACAGCAATTCCGTTAGCTACGTGACGCTGGGATCAATCACAAAGCAATAGTTTATCAAATAAAGATAGTTTTTATTTAACAGTTGCGCAGTACCTATTCTGGTTCTTTTCACTTTTTGAC